GCGGGGCCGGGTCAGGAAGGGCGGCGTCGGGGCCGGGAAGGGCAGCGCCGGGGCCGCAGGAGTAGGCGACGGGGCCGCTAGGGCAGCGGATCGGGGCCGCGAGGGCGGCGCGACGCATCCGCGAGGGCGGCGCGACGGGATGGGGCCGCGAGTGCGACGCGACGGGGCCGCTAGCGCGACGCGACGGGGCCGCTAAGGCGGCGCGATAGGGTCGAGAGAGGGGAGCGCGACTCGGGCAGAGGCTGAGCGCGCTCCGGGCAGGAAAAAAAAAGAAAAAAAATCGAATTGGTGGGCCCTAGGAACAGTTCCCACGAGGGAACTTGCTCGATACCATGAGAAAACTAGAACGAGGAATGAATGACTAAGTAAAAGTTGGGTACAAATATAAACCCCTAGAAAGATGTACCCCATATGGGCTACCCCACTATAGCCTACAATAACTATGTCATATAAATATGACAATCCTAAGAAGATCGAAGCAGTGCGAACGTGGAAGACCCCTGAGAACGTGAAGGAGTTACAACAGTTCCTTGGATTCGCCAACTACTACAACCGGTTCGTACCGAACTACGCGAAGATTGCCGCACCATTAACGAACCTGTTGAAGAAGAATACACCATATCAATGGGAGGCGAAGCACTAGGAAGCTGTGGAACAACTTAAAACCGCACTCACGTCCGCACCTGTCCTTATCCTGCCAGACCCTGAACTTGACTATGTCATCGAGGCTGATGCTAGCGATCAAGTAGTGGGCGCAGTACTCATGCAGAATCAAGGGAAGGGACTGCAACCCATTGCATACCTCAGTAAAAAACTTCACGGGGCAGAACTCAGTTACCCCATACATGACAAAGAGGCCCTCGCCATCCTCAACGCATTTAAGGCATGGAGGTGTTATCTCGAAGGAAGAAAAACGACCGTCTACACCGACCACTGCAGCCTCAAGTATCTGAAGACCCAACCAACACTCTCCAGGCGGCAGGTCCGGTGGATTGACTTTCTCGAAACCCACTTCCATTACGACATCGTGTATAAGCCAGGGCACAAGAACAAGGCAGACGCAGTGAGTCGCCCTGCACACGTTGCCGCCCTACAAGTCGATGGCATGAACCCACTTTTGAAGGGACTCTTCACGCATGGATACACCATCGACCCCGAAGTCTCTGTAGCAGAAAAGCGCCATCTTCTAAATTGGGATCAAGACATCGCATGCCGCAAGGGATCCACAAAAATATGGGTACCTAATTACCCTCCTTTACGCCAGTTACTGCTCGAAGAATATCATGATGTTCTCTACGCGGGCCACTTCGGTAGTAACAAGACGCTTGCCGGTATTGCGAAGCATTCTTATTGGCCCCACATGGCGGATGACGTACAAAAATTCGTCACCTCGTGCGACACATGCCAACGGATGAAGAGCAGCAAACAGCAGAACGCAGGGTTGCTACAGCCTCTTCCAGTCCCTGAACAGCCTTAGCAAGTGGTTAGCCTCGACTTCATCACCGGGTTACCACCTACCAAAGCTGGTTACGACGCCATTCTAGTCGTCATCGACAAATTCTCCAAAATGGGACACTTCATTCCGACACACACAACGGCTCGCATCGAGGAGACAGCGCAATTATTCTTCCGCTACGTCATCTCGCAACATGGCATTCCAACCACGCTAATCTCCAACAGAGACCCGAAATTCACGAGTAAATTCTGGAAGGAGCTCATCTCGCTCATGGGGACCAAACTCGCCATGTCATCAGCCTATCATCCCCAAACGGATGGTCAGACAGAGCGCCTCAACCAGATTGTCGAACAGCTTCTGCGAGCAGCATGTGAGGACGATATCTCTAAATGGGATGCACACCTGCCGGTTCTCGAGTTTGCGTATAACAACGCCACGCACGCCGCAACAGGGCAAACTCCTTTCTTCCTCTGTTACGGTCGCAACCCACTCACGCCTCAGAAACCAACAGTACCCGCCACGGTGCAACCCGCACATGACTTCATTACCACTATGCACCAATTGTGGGAGCGCACGCATAAACGTCTTCTGCCTATCCAGCAGCAACAAAAGAAGCTCGCTGATCGGAGTCGCAACGACCATTCTATCAAGATTGGCGATCAAGTGCTTCTGGATACACGCAATCTCGACATTAGCCATCTTCAGTCTAAGCTCCGACCTCGCTTCTGCGGACCTTTTCTCGTCGAGGCGCAGGTCACTCCAGTAACCTTCCGCTTGCGTTTACCAGCTACCTGGAGAATTCACAATGCCTTCCATGTTCAACTTCTCAAGCCCTATCGGGACCCAAACACGGTCTTCAAAGGTCGCCAGCCGCCGCCGCCACTGCCAGTGATCGTTAATGGGGAACCCGAGTACGAAGTCGAAGCCGTTCTGGCGCACCGACGACGACGTAGCGGCACCTTGGAGCTCTTGATTCGTTGGAAAGGCTATGATCCTTCCGAGGATACCTGGGTGCCTGAACACGACATGGAAAACGCCCGCGGTCCTCTCCATGACTACCTTGTCAAGCAGGGTGTTACTTCTACCACCCAGCTTTGAGGGGGGGAAGTGTGAGAGGACGTCCAGGTTATAATTTTTTCTCACTATTATACTTTTCCGTTATCCTATTCTCCCTTTTCTCCTCTTTATTTTGGTCTTTATCTCATCTCAATCGGCCTACTATTCTATATTCTAGAGCCTTCTATTTATTTCTCTTATTTCCTACTTTTCCCACCGACATACCTATTACACGGCACCGACAGCGCCGACAGTGGTGTATAATCTCAAAGTGTTAAGCAAAGGTAGGCTTAGAAGCCATAGTTTAGGTGCCTGGGTAATCGAGTTCGAGGGTGAGGAGGAAAGTATCGAGAGATTTTTGAAAGAGGAGTGAGTTCACTAGCAAGAGTTGGGATACAAGTACAATACCCTAAATTGGGTTGTACTCATTACAGAGTACCCCACTGCAGGCTAGACAGCAAATATATTCTAACACACCCCCATAGCCAAAGTGGGGTGTAATCAGCACAGTGAGCAAGCATAGAGCAAGAGTTCACAATAGGTAAATAAGGCTAGAGCTAATCACAGAGGACAGGTGAGGAGGAGGAGAGAATGTGGGGATGAGAAGATGGGAGGCAACTGCTGACGCTGCAGACACACAGACGAGCTGCTGGCTCAGTGGCTACCGGAACAGGGCTCCGGACTACTGGAGTAACTGGCCCCGCGGCTAAAAGTAGCGGCAGACGAGCAACGGACCCACGGGCGACTGGCGACTACCGGAGATTGTAGCCTCCGGACTGCTGCTGCTGCTGACGACAAGACTGCTGCCTCCACTCAACCTCCCCCAGCTGCCCAACGCCCCTCTCCCACACCCCCTGCTCAAACCCTAGCCCTACACCCGCAGCACCCCCTTAAACCCTAAACCCCAGACTCCCACACATCCACCCCCCTCAGCGAGAGCTGTAGCAGTGGGAGACGAAGGAGGAGGAGGAGGAGGGGACGGCACGCACAACCGACACCCCCACAACTAGCACCCCCACACTCACCCCCCACGGCTGCACCTGGTCCATGAGTGGCTGCTGCAGGAGCCAGGGGCGGCTGCTGCTGGTGCGGCTGCTCCAGTGGCTGCTGCTGCTGGGGCTGCTGCTCCAGGGGCTGCTGTTGGGGCGGCTGCTCCCGGGGCTGCTGCTGCTGGGGCGGCTCCAGGGGCTGCTGCTGCTGGGGCGGCTGCTCCAGGGGCTGCTGCCGGGGCGGCTGCTCCTGGAGCTGCTGCTGCTAGGGTGGCCGCTCCAGAGGCAGCTGCTGCTGGGGCGGCTGCTCCCGGGGCTGCTGCTGCTGGGGCGGCTCCAGGGGCTGCTGCTGGGGCGGCTGCTCCTGGAGCTGCTGCTGCTGCTCCAGGGGCCGCTGCTGCTGGGGCGGCTGCTCCCGGGGCTGCTGCTGCTGGGGCGGCTCCAGGGGCTGCTGCTGCTGGGGCTGCTGCTGGGGCGGCTTCTCCCGGGGCTGCTGCTGCTGGGGCGGCTCCAGGGGCTGCTGCTAGGGTGGCTGCTCCCGGGGCTGCTGCTGCTGCTGCTGCTCCAGGAGCTGCTGATGCTGGGGTGGCTGCTGCAGTAACGGCGGTTCCAGGGGCTGCTGCTGGGGCGGCTGCTCCTGGGGCTGCTGCAGCGGAAAGTAGGACGGAGGGGAGGCGAAGGGCGCGGCCCCCATTGTGCCCTCAAGGGCGACGTGCTAGGGAGCCGCGCAGGTCCCTGAAAGTGCCTCGACGGGCGACGAGAGGGGACCGCACGCAGGACCCTAAGGTGCCGCGACGAGGCAACGGGAGGGGCCGGCTCGCGAGCCCCAAAAGTGCCGCGACGAGGCGACGGGAGGGACCTGCGTGCGGGCCCCCAAAACGCCGCGACGAGGCGACGGTCGAGGCCAGCGCGCGGGCCCCCAAGACGCCGCGACGAGGTAGGTACCCGCCGCGCGCCTCGGGGCGCACGGCGGGCAGAAAACCGCCACACGCCCCGAGCGCGTGGCGGGAAGAAAAATAGGTGGTCGCGCGCCACGGGGCACACGGCACACAATAGGGCAGCGGAATCGAGTGGGCCCACAGGCCAGGAGCGTTAAGCTCTAATACCATCTCAAAGTGTTAAGCAAAGGTAGGCTTAGAAGCCATAGTTTAGGTGCCTAAGTAATCGAGTTCGAGGGTGAGGAGGAAAGTATCGAGAGATTTTTGAAAGAGGAGTGATTTCACTAGCAAGAGTTGGGATACAAGTACAATACCCTAAATTGGGTTGTACTCATTACAGAGTACCCCACTGCACGCTAGACGACAAATATATTCTAACATATACGGCGTAATCTGGGCGTAATCCCAAGTGCCAATAGCTTTCCGTGCTTGTGCGCACTTGTGATTGTAGTATCGGGAAGGGCGTGTTCCCGAAGGTTCGTTTTATCTCGTTTATCCTTGTATTTTCCGAGTATAAAAATGCCTTGTATTCAGTTTTAGGGACAAGTTATGATTGAGAATTCAATCCTGTGACACTGTCCGAGAACACGTGCAGTGGGTCACTCGCTGACTCGCAGGAGTGAACTGGTCAACCCCCCTATCCTGTAGGTCCGCTCCACTCACCAAGTTCGTAGAGAACGAGGGGAGGTAGAGACCTGACAGGGTGCCAGAGGGGGCTGCCGGGCACGGTAAGACAGTGGAGAAGCTAGCAAGGACAGGACCCCCAGAGGGGTCTGCCAAGGAGACTGCAACCGGCCGACTGAGCGGCGTAAGAGCAGTGCGGTCTCGAAAGAAGGAGCGGGACGCACCCGAGTCAAGGGTGAAGGTGTGTAAGGCCTGAGCCGACGTAGTACTTGAGAGCACAGACTCACCAGCACCTGGGGCAGCAGACGCACTAGCACCTGGGACAGCTAAACCACTAGCACCTAGAGCAGCAGCCTCACCAGCACCTAGAGCAGTAGCCTCAATGCCCGGGTCAGGCGGTACACACAGGTAACAATTACCCACAACACTATCATCAACAGCATACATGGCAGCAAGAATAGCATCATAGTCAAGATCAAAGACGGCAACCCCCGCCCTAGACAGATCTCCCCAGCGAGGGATCTCTGTTGCCTCAGAGAACTGGCGACGCCACGCGTCCATCAGGCGACCGAAGCAGCGCTGGGTGGAGTGTGGGCCTCTGCACTGGTCACCAGCTCGGTCGCCGGTACGGAGGACGTAAGTGCAGGGACCAAAACCCCCACCGCGCTGATGCGCAGTGTACCACTCACGAAGCTGCTGAGGGGACAGGGTCACACCACTCCGCTGCTGCTAGCGCGGACCACCACCTGAGCCAGTCTTCTGCGCAGAGTCGCGACCCGCTCCACCACCGCCGCCGCCACCGCCGCCTCCGCCGCCTCCTCCACCTCTGCCTCCTCCGCCACCTCCGCCGCCTCCGCTCCTTCTGCCGCCTCCACTCCCTCCGCCACCACCACCGCCTCCGCCGCCTCCAGTGCTGCCGCCGCCGCCGCCACCCCCGCTACCACTCCCACTACCACCCCCACTCCCTCCATTGCCTCCACCGCCACCTCCACCGCCCCCTCCAGCCCCTCCAGCTCCCTTGCCCCCCTTGCCCTTGCCGGTGCGGCGTCTCCCGCTCCGGGCAGACGCAGCGCCGACCGACTCGGAACCAATGAGGTCGGCCGCAGCAGCAGAGACAACAGAGGGCAAGAGGGGGGAGGGAGAACACCCCTCAAAGACGGGGGTGCGAGGGTCACCACGAGAGGCTCCTACAGCGACTATGCTCTTCTCTATCGCTAGGAGGGCCTTCTCGAGGAGATCAACGGTGAGAGTGGTGGGGCAAACTGAGAGGAAGTGGTCCCTGACTACGCGGAGAGAGTCAGGGAGCCGGGTGACTATGTAGTAGAGGGTGATGTACATGGGGGGGGGGGGGGGGGGGGGGGGGGGTTCTTGGCGCAGAACTCAGCAGGAAGCGTAGTGCGGTAGCGAGTGTCACTAGTGCGGATGTGGGCAATGAGGTCAGCGACTATGGGAAAGGCAGCAAGGTCAGGGAAGAGGTACGGTAGCATGAGGCGGCTCAGTGCAGCAGTGGCAGGGGAAGAGTAGCGTGCAACTACAGCGTCGTACAAGGTCTGAGCACTCTTGTACTTGCTAAAGTGTGCACGCTCAGTGGTCGGTAAGTGGCGGCGCACAGCAAGGCGAGCAGCAGCATCACGCGTGGCCCACTCTGAGCGATTAGTGGCGTCAGCATCAGCAGCAGGGGCAGGAGAGGCACCACAGGGAGAGACCATCTGCCCTATCGCACTCTAGGAAAAGCTGCAGATCATCTACCCAGACCTCAAAGTCCACTGCCCGACCCTTAGCATCAAAGGTGAGAGCACTAGGGGAGGCCATGACAGTAGTAGACAGGCACTGAGTACAGTGAGGCAGGGCAGTGTAGTGGCAGAGACGCTGCTCTTACCAGGCAAGTGGGGCGGTCGGGCGGCTCGGCGGCTCGGCGGCTTGGCTGCTGGGCGGCTCGGCGGTCGGGCGGCTCGGCTGCTCGACGGCTCGGCTGCTGGGCGGCTCGGCTGCTCGGTAACTGGGCTGCTCGGCGGCTCGGGCGCTGGGCGGCTGACCGCCGATGGGGTCGTGGAAGGGCGGCGACGGGGCCGCTGGAAGGGCGGCGATGGGCTGCTGAAAGGGCGGCAACGGGCCGCTGAAAGGGCGGGCGGCGACGGGGCCGCTGAAGGGGCGGGGATAGGGCTGTGGAAAGGCGGTGTCGGGGCCGCGGAAGGGCGGGCGATGGGGCTGCTGTAGGGCGGCGAGGCCGCTGAAGGGCGGCGACGGGGCTGCTAGAGGGCGGCGACGGGGCCGCGGAAGGGCGGTGCCGGGGCCGCGGAAGGGCGGGCGACGGGGCTGCTGTAAGGGCGGGCGGCGAGGCCGTGGAAGGGCGGCGACGGGGCCGTGGTAGGGCGGCAACGGGGCCGCTGTAAGGGCGGGCGGCGAGGCCGCTGAAGGGCGGCGACGGGGCCGCTGGACGGCGGTGACGGGGCCGCGGAAGGGCGGTGCCGGGGCCGCGGAATGGCGGGCGACGGGGCCGCTGTAAGGGCGGGCGGCGAGGCCGTGGAAGGGCGGCGACGGGGCCGTGGAAGGGCAGCGATGGGGCCACTGAAAGGGCGGCGACGGGGCTGCTGAAAGGGCGGCGACTGGGCCGCAGGAAGGGGCGGCGACGGGGCCGCAAGGGCGGCGCGACGGGGCCGAAAGGGCGGCGCGACGAGGTCGTTAGGGGCCGAAAAAGGGGCCGCTAGAGGCCGCTAGAGGAGGAACGACACGGGGCGCAACTCGGGCAGAGGCCAAGCATGCTTCGGGCAGGGAAAAAAAAAGTCGTGGGCCCTAGGAACAGTTCCCAAGAGGGAATCAGCTCTATACCATGTGAAGATGAGAACGAGAGAATGATTGAACTATGAAAGAGTTGGGTACAAGTACTAACCCTAATTGGGTTGTACCCCTTATGGGCTGCCCCACTACAGCCTACACAAATGTATAAGCTATAATGTTCTGACAAAGGCTCGCTGGGGACTTTACCTGGGTGTGTCGTCGGAGAGCAAGGGCTGGGTGGTGCTCGACCTGACCGACAACCGGGTGGTCACGTCGGTCGAGGTGATCTTCTACGAGACGCTGTCGCTGGAGGTGTGGAAGGCGAAGTATGGGCCGGCGTCAGGGCAGACGCAGGCTCACCTGCCAACGGACACCTCGACAGCGACGGTTCCGTTGCTTGCCGACGTCGACGAGCCTGCTGATGAGGATGTTGTGGCTTTTCGTCCCCCTCCCGCTGCTCTTGCTCTTGCTGATGAGGATGTTGTTGCCAAGCTCGTCGACCAGGATTGGAAGCCGTCGACGACAGGGGAGCACCAGACATGGGAGCCGGTCGAACAGAAGGCAACAACAGGGGTACATTCGACAGGAGAGCAGCAGCCGGGGCGGTCGACAGGGGAGCTGTCGAAGTCAGCAGCTGACGAGCAACCGGTCGAAGGGTCGAAGTAGCTGGTCGACGACGAGGACGTCGACGAGGAAGGGGAGCAGTCGGCGGGTGAGGAGTCCACCGACAGCGACGTAGTGGAAGTGCTGATCACGAAGCCTGAGTTGCGACGCTCAGGTCGAGCTCGACGGCCACCGGAGCGGCTGAGCTTCCACGCCTGCCTACCGATAGCCGCCTTCACCACGGTGTTCGACGAGGTCGACGACGACCTCTTGTACGACGACGCTGAGGAGGATGAAGACCTGCCGGAGCTCGACCCTAACGTGCATGCCGACCCCGTACACCGCTGGGACATCGCCACGATGACGGTGAAGGAGGCGCTGTCGAGGTGGAAGTGCGAGGTGGTGAAGAACGCCATGGAAGAAGAGATCCGCAGCCTCATCGGCATGGGGACTTGGAAGCTGGTCGAACGCCCACGCGGGGTGAACATCATGAAGAACCGGTGGGTGTTGACGACCAAGTACCGCATCGACGACACCGTCGAGCGCGAGAAGGCGAGGCTGGTCGTGAAGGGCTTCACGCAGGTGTACGGTGCCGACTACGACGAGACGTACTCGCCGGTGAGCAGCTACATCATGCTGAGGATCTTCCTCAGCATCGTCGCCGTTCTCGACCTCCACCTGATGCATCTCGACATGAAGAACGCTTTCTTGCAGAGCAAGCTCGACAGGGTGCTCTACATGTACCAGCCGGACTACTTCGATGACGGGACCGGCCGGATGTACAAGCTGTTGAAGAGCCTCTACTGGCTGAAGCAGTCGCCGCTAGTGTGGTACAGGGCTCTCGACAGTGTGTTGCTGGGCGCTGGCTAGAAGAAGAGCTAGGTCGACGAGGCGCTCTACTTCAAGGCCGGCGACGACGGAGTGACCTGCTGGGTGCTGGTCTACGTCGACGACCTGCTCGCCGCCAGCAGCAGCACCGCGATGCTGAAGGAGCTGCTGGAGGCCGCCTTCGAGCTGCGTAAGATCTCGCCGGTGGTGAAGTACCTTGGGCTGGAGATCGTGCGCGACAGGCCAGTCAGGAAGCTGTGGCTGCACCAGCAGGGCTATGCCGACAAGCTGCGCAGGCGCTTCATCGACGAGGAGCAAGGTGGTCGAGTCCCGAAGATGCCGGTCTCGGTCGACGCCTATGCTCAGCTGACGTTCGACGACGAGGAGGCTCAGGAGCGCGAGGAGGAGGAGTACCGGCAAAAGGTCGGCTCGGTGCAGTTCGCGGCGACGACGACAAGGCCAGACATCGCGTTCGCCTACAGCAAGCTGGGGAGCGGCCTCACAGTGAGGAGCGACCAGCATTGGCGCGAGGTCGACCGTTGCCTCGCCTACCTGGCCGACACCCGCGACACCGCCCTAGAGTTCGGCGGTGGACCAGAATCGTTGGAGCTAATCGGCTACGTCGATGCCGACGACGCGGGCAACAAGCAGAACCGAACGAGCACGAGAGGCTACGTGTTCGTCTACCGAAGGGCCGCCATCTCCTGGTCGAGCTCGCGCATCAAGTGCGCGACATTGTCGTCGACCGAGTCGGAGTACGTGGCGGCCACGGATGCTGGCAAGGAGGGGCGTCGACTTCGCTTCCTCCTTGCGGAATTCAAGCTGCTCAACGCTGGGAAGCCGACCATCCTCCGCGTCGACAACCATTTGGCAATCACGGTCGTTGAGGGCCTGGGGCTGACGGGCAACCTCAAGCACATGGAGCGACGCTACGCCTGGCTGCAGCACATGGTGAGGCGCGGGAAATTCGTGCTGAAGTACATCCCGACCACCGAGCAGCCGGCGGACTTCCTGACAAAGGCGTTGCATTTTCCGGCTTTCAACCGGTGCTCTGTTGCCATCAGCCAAGTTCGTCTGGCCGACGTCGGCGACGTCGATGACGAGGTGCAGCACTAGGTGCCGTGCCCTTCTACACAACTAGTGCGGTGACGTCGTGCTGTGTGTGGGGTGCACGCCGAGAACGAGTTTTCTCCGTGGAGTACCGCCGTGTGGGCTGGAGGCCCAAGCGTGAGCGCGGCAGGGGGGTGTTAACTGGAATGGAGTGTTGGCCCCGCCCTCGCTTGGGCAACGCCGACGACTTGGATGGATGTACGGGAGTAGCAGCCGACCATTCACTATGGGAGAGCTCCTCGACAGGCTTTGTCGCGTTGCAAGGAGCCGTTGTGGTGTTGCTGTCGACCAGGGAGCTCGACAACTGCAACTGACTGGTCTGGGCGATGGGTGGGACGTCAACCAGGACCTGCAGCTCGACCGGGAGGCCTCCGGAGCATCCCGTCGACCTGCTGTTCGACCGGGAGGCCTCCTGAGCATCCCGTTGACCTGCTGTTCGACCGGGAGGTCTCCAGAGCATCCCGTCGATCTGCCGTTCGACCGGGAGGTCTCCGGAGCATCCCGTCGAGCTGCCGCTCGACCAGGAGGTCGACGGAGCAGTCGGAAGGGGTCCGTCGACCAGAGGGTAGCTCGACGGGAGTTGTGGTCGACCAGAGGGACCTGGTGGTCGACCAGAAGCAGTGGTGGTCGACCGGAAGCACCTGGTGGTCGACCGGGTCGACCGGGTAACCTGCTCGACGAGTTCGGCGGAGGCACGCAAACGTCGTCGAGGTTGCGATGGTGTAGGCGAATGCGGGCTGGTATCCCGGAGTCGATGTGGCTCGTCAGGCGAAGACATCAGCCGACGGATGCCCAACAAAGCAAGTCAGGCCAATCGTCTGCGCGCACCTGCGAGCGTGCGCACTCCTGTGTTGTACGGGCCAGCACTGGACAGCCGCTCCGCTGCAACGTTGGCACGCCGTCGATCTGCTCTGTTGGCAGGTCGCCCTTCTGTAGTGCTGGCGCGGCTCCTCTACGCAATGCTGGCAGGCGGTCAACCGAGCTGTGCTGGCGGTCGACCAGACTACCTGCAGGGTTGCTAGGTCCCTGGTGTAATCATTGTTGCCATTGCATGTTGATTCATTCTGGAATTCCAACTTTGCTAGTGGAAACTCTTGCCGATTTCTCCCGTGAAGGTGCAAGCACTAAGGAGCCAAACAAAGCTACAATCACCTCTAGTATTTCGTGCCAATCCCCGTAGTCTAGCTCACAACCATTGTAGAGTGACTCTTCACAGCCGCTACCGGTGATAGGGGAACGGGGTGAGAAGTATTTTCTCACAATTGTTGATGATTGGAGCCGAGTGACTTGGGCATATCCAATCAAGAAGAAGGACCACGTGCCGTCCATCATCCGTGACGATTGGCTGCCGTTGGTGGAGAAGCAGTCCGGGCACAAGGTGATGCGGATT